GTAGAATTATTTCGCTGTGCATCCGAGAAAAGTTGTTAAAGAAATTGTTGTCCAAAACAGGAAATGTCGATTTAAGTCAAAAGTAAATTCAACTTAGCCTCGAAACTTCTCTCGAAGAGGAAGTTCTCTTGCAACGAGTGACTAGCAACAACCACGTTGCCTAAGGTTGTTGCAACGTGGCTGGAAAAATAAGTGAAAGGCTGGCTAACAGGCAAAAGGAAAAGAAAAGGAAGAAAAGGAAGAAGAGAAAGAAGCGACAAGGTTGACAAGCGATGCTGGACTCCTCGTTCTAAGCTGATGGATCATAGATCTATTATTATTATTATTTCTTTAACGATTTAATTTATCGAGTCTTGGAGTAAAATCGTAACGAAATTTAAAGTTCCCAGCGTTGAGTATTGCGAATGGAAAATTTATTCGAAAATCCTTTCATCCACCGATTGCATTATCAAAAATAACGAGGTGAGGCTTGGCCTAAAGGGTTAATTGCCTATTTAATATTTTATTTATCTAAAACCACGTATATCCTGGCGGAATTTTCAACGGAAAGCGCATTGATCCTAGTGGTAATTACGCCAGTGTTGCGCCAGAACGATTTCCGTAGAGAGAATTCCAAAATAGCAATGTTACTCGGTATATCTGCTAATATCTGAATTTGTGATTGTGCCAAAGAAAACGAGATTACGTTTTCCTTTGTGAGCAACATCGTAGGATAGAAGAACGAAATAAAATAAAATAAAATAAAATAAAATTTCTCCTCGCGTAAAAATATATATACAAAAATATAGAAATTTGGAATTTCATCAGTTTTACTTTCGTATTTTCCTTCAATTTTTTCCCTCCTCCTCCATTTATTTTTCAACAATTGATTATTTTTTCAGATATGATAACAAGCTTGCTTTTCCAAGCGTCCAGTAGAATATCTCTATCCCCGTATTTTTAACAAGCTAACTCTTTTCGAGGTCACTGTTTTAATATCGGAAAAAGCATTGTACCCGTTACTTCCACGTTGCATAACGCATTCACGTTGCATAAACGTTCTCCTCTGCGAAATTCGAGCAACCGTTTCTCAAAGGTGCATTCATTACTGCTCTTTTTCAATGGATTTAGAACGCGGATATCGATCCATGAATTTCAATCAAACGTCTGTATTCGTATATATATATATATCCATTTTTTTTCTTTTTTTTTTAATCTTCGCAAAATTGCAAAACGTTTCGTCGCACAGATTCGAATACGCGCTCTCATCGGTGGTCCCTTTTGTCGCAAAAATTGATCCCATTCCCGTTATTTCTCAATTCCTTTTCTCTCCAATCTCAGCAATCCATTGTGAATCGAGGGTATCGATGGTGTTCTGGATCGATAATCGATGGCGAGGGGAGGGG